CCTGAAAACCCAGAACTTTCTCCAGATGAGAGCGGGCCCCAGCCTTGCCACGTCAGAGTCAGAAGAGACAGCGGCTCAGACAGTCGTAGGAGGAGTGGTGGCTTCCTGGCCTGAGGCGCAGCCTGGCCTGGCGGCCTGCAAGATGGACAGCCGGCCCCGCCGACCCAGTGTTCAGACTACCTGTTCAGGCAGTTCCGAATGTGTACAGTAGTCTGCACATTGGTTAGGCTGGGCTCGGGCGAGCAGCACGTCGGGACAGCCCCCCACCAGCCCCCTAAACTTGCGGCCACCCAGCATGAGGCCCATCTGGAGGTGAGTGTCATCTTCCCCCGCCCCATGTCCCACTGGGATGGAGACTCACATAGAAGATTCTGGAATAAAGAAGGCCCAGGTGGGAGCAGGGGCTTTGGAGAAAGGCAGAGGGAGCCCCGAGGTCGGTAAGGGGCTGAAGCTCTGGCTGGGTCGTTCCTCCATCCCTACCCCATGGCTGCAAATGTCTCTTGTTTATTTCTCAAATAAATAAATAGTGACATCTTGCCTCTTGCTGAGGCATCTCTTAAAGAGGCTTGCTCCCTGGGGGTGGCTGCCATGTGGGTGGCTCTGAGGGTTCCTGCTGGGATCCTGACTTGGACAGTGAGAGGTAGATGCCATGCTGCGACCTTCCCACTGTGGCCTGCTTTGTGTCTGGGGCACACACAGGGCCCTACTGCAGGCTGTCTGCTGGTTCTCATTACAGCAGCCCAGCCTCCTCTGCTGCTCTCCCAGCCTCCAGTCTGGGGCCCTGAGGGAGGGTGAGGACTCATGTTTTCAGTCCCTATACAGGGAAAACACGAAGGCCCCTCCTCAAGGTAAAGAGGAGGCAGTGAGGCCTGGGCGACTCTGGACGGAAGCCCCTCTACAGCTCCCTGCCTGAGGCCTGGCACGACCATCCACAGACCCCAGAAGATCCCAGCACACTGGAGCCAAAAGGCGGGGACCCAGCCCACAGCCCGCCTGACAAAGCAAACTGGGTTCAGACCTCAAGCCTTGAGAAGGGCGGTGGAAGCAAAAGTGCCGCCCCCATCTCCCTCCCATCTGGCCAGCCGGCCATTTTGAGGAGCCATCGGATCTGGACACATGGGTTCCCTGAGGAGCATGTGGCAGGAGGCTGTGAGGCTCCCTGGGTCTGGGGTTCTGGAGGGTTCCACAGGCACCCCAGAAAACTGCATGATGGCTCTGTGGGCTCCCTTGCCCCAGATTTAGAAACAGTCCCCCGGGCTGGGTCCCGTGGGGGCTCAGGGCTTCTGAGGCTCCCAGAACTTTCCAGAGATGAGTCTCTATCCTTTAGGTGGGATGATCACACATAACCACCCTCCCTTGGAGAGACCATGTCGGGTCTAGGCTGTGAGGGCGTGGTCCAGATGCACTGCTGAGGTGACCCTCAGGTCAGGAAGTGAATGCCCAAAAACGTCGACCCCATGGGGCCCATCCCCTGCTCTGTGACACAGGACAAGTCACTGCTCAGAGCCTCAGTTTCTGAACTTGCCATCCCTAAGGTAGGTGGTACAGGGTGCCCACCACGTATGGCCTGGGGGCCTCTCCCAGTCAGCGAGCCTGGAACAGGGCAGGTTTCCCGACCCTGAGGCCCTGCTCGCTCTGTTCCACCTGACCTGCCTTCTCTCTACACCTGTGTCAGGTACATGTGGTTGGGCCAGGTCTGTCCTGGGGCTGAGCCAGTGCCAACAGGCCCCTGGCAGGGGGCACTTTCACAGGGTGTCCTCCCAAAGCCTGAGAGAGGGAGAGTCAGACGGGTGGCTCCAGGAGTGGCCAGAAAAGCCTGGTGTCTCCACTTGGGACCTGGGCAGTGTCAGTGCTGTGTCACCCTGGGGACTGGCCTCCAGCCCTGTTCCTGACTAGCTGTAAAACAGCCACCAACATGTGCTCAAGGTCATCTCAGCAGGCATGATCTGGGGTAAAAGCGCATCTTTCTGAGACTCTAGGCCCCCTTGTGCATGGGGGTAGCTCCCTCCTGCAGAGTTTTTCGAGGTGGTGGCCACCAGAATAAGCTACTGGACATAGCTACAAGCCAGGCATGGCACTGGGCTCAGCACCAGGACTCCACCGCTGGCTCCCACAGTCCAGAAGGAACAAGACAGCCCAGTCTTGACTTTACAGGTGGGGAAACAAGACACAAAGAGTGGATGCCACCTGCTCAGATCCTGGTGGAATCTGGGTGTTGAGTCCAGCTCTCAGGCTCAGAAACCACCAATCCTTGCCCTCCTCCTAGAGAGTACTAGAATCATCAGCTGGGCCCCAGTCCCATGCATGATGGTCATTCTTCTCCTCCTCCAGGCTGCTAGAGCCCACATGGAGATGGACACGGGGCAGCCATGCTGGACCACGACGGGGAGCCCTGTGTCAAGGTGGCAACAGTAGCCACAATGAGACAGGAGTGAGAGCCAGACTTCTGTGCTGGGAGGTGCCTTCCTTCTGAACCCCTGCTATAGGCCTCCACTGACAGCCTCCCTGACACAGCCTCGCCTTACAGGACAGCCTCAGGCCTCCTCCTGGACAACCCAGGAAAAGGAAGGAACACAGCTGCCCTCACTGGCAACCCTCAGAAGTCAACCTGGCCTACGTCAGTGGCAACAGGCTATCATGTGGGAGTGGGAGAAGTGGCTTCCCTATTGGGACACTCAGCTGTAGTCACAATGAGAACTAAGCAAGCAATGGCCTGCCCAGGGCCATAAAAAAGAATGAAAATGTGTCATCGGTAGCCACATGGATGGAAATGAAGGTCGTTATGTTAAGTGTAATAAAACAGACACAGAAGGAGAGATACTGCATGAGCTCACTCATGTGGGAGCTAAAACAGTTGATCTCAGAAAGGGAGAGAGTGGAATGACGGTAGAGGCTGGGCTGCACAGTGGCTCACACCTGGAATCCCAACACTTTGGGAGGCCGAGGCAGGAGGACTGCTTGAGCCCAGGTGTTTGAAACCAACCTGGGAAACATAGTGAAACTCCATCTCTAAAAAAATAAACAAACCATAAAAAGACAGCAGAAAGCCGGGCTCGGTGGCTCAGCCTGTAATCCCGCGCCTTTGGGAGGCTGAGGTGAGTGGATTGCCTGAGTCCGCGGGTTCAAGACCCACC